GAACATGGTGGCTGTTTTGTTTGACAGTGGATTTAGTCGTTAATTTGTTTTTCACAAAAATATTTTCATTTTCCTCCCTGGCTGCTGTTTTTTCTCTGGTGCACAGGCTTTAACAACAGCGTGGGGGGCAGAGGCTGACATTAAACAGCATATGGGGATGTTATTAAATAAGCAGATGCTATCTGTCCTGCATCTGCCTGCCCACTCACAACAGGAGGACATGGCTGAAAAAGCAAGGATGGAAAGAAAGCTCTCTGTCCCCCCAGACCTCATCAAAACAAGGCCGGTGCATAGGTTTGCCATCTGTGTAGAAAATCACAATCCCCCGGATGCTCCTCAGAATGACTGCACTTTGACGGCTGCTTGATTTCAAAGTCGTAATTTATCCGTCTGCATTCAGGTTGGGAGTTACAGCAGTGGCCTTGGAGTGAGACGGACTGCAGGCAGACAACAGACGCCCACACTCACTCCAGGTAATAATACTTAGGAGAGAGAGCTGCTCTCTGAAAGTGATGCAGGAAATGGTCGTGCTGCATTTACTTTCTATGCATTAAGGCCCTTGTTTATAAAGACATTAATCTCACTGCAGCCAAAACAAGCAAAATACCAGATCAAAATAGGGGAGTTCTTTTAATATAATTCAACTCTTTATTTAATTGAAAGTTTCAGGAACAATTTTACCAAAGCATTAGTGTACAAAATGATGAGACAACTGGACGATATAAATTAACTCTAAACTAAGTAATAACATATATATACTGTGTATAATTGCTTCCATGAGCTTTGCATTAGATCCGAATCTGAATCAATTATTTGGCGCACAGACTTTACATTTACCTGTAGTACTATCTTCACTATCTTTATTACTGATACAAAGTTGATAACCCCCCCCACACACGCACACGCACACGCTCACGCACACGCACACGCACACGCACTCGCACTCGCACACGCACACGCACACGCACACGCACACGCACTCGCACTCGCACACGCACACGCACACGCACACGCACACGCACACGCACACACACACACACACTCACACTCACACTCACACAGGGTTGTCTGAACATTTTTCAGAAGTGCATTTGTGAAAACATCCTCTGACCATAAAAGTCCTATTCTCCCCGTACCTAATGTGCCAACAGGTTGAAGAATTAACCGTATATGGATTTATCGTGGTTGCTTGTGTATGGGAGCAGTGATTGATTTTTCCTGCAGAGAAGACTGCAAGCCAAAGTAATGAAGAGACTCTGGGTTACTTGTTTTCCTTGTTTGCTAAGCTTCACGAGCTCCCTTGGCTTTTTAAGTCTCATAAACAGCTCCAAATCAGCTACCATCACAAATTCAACCCTATGGAAACACCAAAAATGGTCATGTCTGGCTCAGTCAATAAAAAGAAGAGGAGAAAATCCAAATTCAAGGCTGCAAAATGCCAGTCCACCAACGAAAGAGTGACATCATGGTGGCTTTGTTCACTTTTCAAACAGGCAAAAATACAATTATTAAATTTTTGTCCTTTTCTGAAATACTTGCATCAGTGCCAGTCTCTCTGGTACCAGGTATCTGTGCATCACATTTCTCCCTCTGCTATCAAAACAACATTTACATTTCAATACATGGATGGACTTCTTTTGGCTTCTTTTCTACTACAAGTGTTTACCATCCAGGATTAAAAGAATCTGCCCTTTCTGACAAGAATCAAATTGAAGAGATTAATTCATATTCCCCCTTTTGAGACACAGATGAAGTAAGATGTTGTTTAAACATCTGTTATCAGCCTACAGCCTACCTTACTCAAATATAAACCTGTTCCACAGCAATTTGAGTCACAAAGATCTGTAAAGAAACATTTATGCGTCACAGAGATTCAGCAACATAAAAAATAAACTCCTTACAGTCAGTGTAAAATGTCTTTCTGTAGTCCTTCATGACTTGTGAATGTAGAAATATAAGAGGACACAGCATCACAGAGCACACACAGACAACTTAATCCACGCACAATGAGCCATCCAAATCTTATTACAACACAGTACAGTACTCGTGTGAACACCGAAGAATAGAGACACGTCTATTTTAGGTGGGTTAGCGGGATGCAGCCAGTCCAAAGAAGACAGGTCTTTGTAGCAACTCTGATAACGTTGTGAAACTGAAAGTGATAACGAGATGAACATGTTCATCACTCAGTCCAAAGCAGAGGCAGCTTCCACTGATCTTTTGGGAAATATGTTTATTTTCTTTCTGGGCAGACGATTCGAACAGACTCTTAATATCACTCTCATATCTGTCTGTTAAACACCAAGCTAAAGCCAGTTGTATAGTGGACTCTGTTCTGCATCTTTCTTTTTTACATCATGTCTCACCACCTGAGATCCCCCTCCCATCCGACAGGGACAGTCTCCTGCTGTGAGGTGCATGTGTGAACAAACAGACAAGGAGGATTTGAGGAGCAGTCTTCCTGAAATTCTGAAAACATTTTTAGGAGTGCACATGTAAAAAAACGCTTTGTTTTTTTTGTGCAGGTTGATTGTGCTGCTTTAATCCAAAGAAATCACAGGTTTCACCTGTACTGCACTTGTGCTAAACTATGCTGATTTACTGATGGTGGTGTCTCAACTGACAAATCTTTGAGTGGTATCAATGTTCTTCTCTAACACCTCACTTAAAATGAATTGAACATAAAATATCAGATTTACTATTTTCCACGCCTGGTGGTTAAGAAAGTTTGAATAATACATATTTATAGTGAAGAGAGAAGAAAGTCAAGCTGGAGGAGGATAGAGAAGCAAGGCAGCGCTTAGATCAAGAAGTGTGGCTGGCTGTCTTCAGAGACAGACTGCTGTAGATGATTTAAAGGCAGGGCCAGATTAACATTAGTGCTTGTGGGACTGAAGCTGCAGAAAGAGCAGGAGGCCACAGAACATTATTAACTCTGTTGGACTGACATTAAGTCTGCTGGCAAACTTTATACCTGATGGAAATGATTTGTCCAACTCACGAATGTTTTAAAATGAAAATAACTTCTCCTCAAACTTTAATAAACACTGGGAACTCAGATAAGAAGAGGTGCAGATACACATTTGTGCCTCTAAGGGCATGGTCACACTGGCAATGTTGTCCCTTACCGTGCTTAAGCACAACATGACAGCTACTTTGTGTCTTTACTTTGAGTCATTTTAGTCAGATACAGACAGAACACTCTGGATTTCTCCATAATGAAGGCTGTCCACATTGTTTACCCGTGCGCTTCTGCGGGTAAAGCACACCTCTCCGAAGCGTGCCATGGCCAAGGAAGTGTATCGTGCTCGAGTACGGTACGGAGAGGTCACACTGGTCAAATCAACTGGACTTTAGGGGTGAAGCGTGATTAGGCACGGTACGGATTGCCAGTGTGACTGCGCCCTAAGACTCACCTGTGCTAAAGTTTAAATGAATGTATTTTAATGAAATTACTAATTTTATATTTTCAGCCTAGTGCCACATCAAAGTATTTTTTCCAACATTTGAGATCTCTACTTTCTCACGGTTTCAAGCCGAAGTAAAGCTGTTTTAAAGTGTCAATTTTGTATATTCTATAATCTAATCTAGTAGTCTAGAGTGGAAACTTCCAAAGGAGCCACACTACTATTTTCAATTTGTTTCATTTCTCTGAGCAGCAGTCAAAATCATTTAAACATTTTATTAACTGATATCTATGACAGACGATCAGCTCACCGTGTCATGGGAGAAGCACGAGCCAGATAACATTAACATCTTTGTTTAAAAATGGACTCAATAAAACATTTGCGTTTCAGATTTAAACAGTAACTCAAATAGGGCTTAACTTTGCAACATAAAGGGAGATGAGGAAGAATATCTAGCAAACAATTGCCCAAACACTTGTGAAACAGTAAAATATAAATTGTTTTTATCAAGCAAACTGCATCTGAATTTAATTGTCTAAATATCACGGACTGCAATCTAACAGAAAAAGCTGTACATGTACTTCTTTATAAAGACATGTGTTGTTTTCGCACATGCACAAAATTCCTGAAAACTTCCTGAAATTCTCAAGTTGATCCAATGTGTGAACACAGCAAGAAATATTGCAGAATATAACCATGAGGGATGGGTAAGGTGTGATTAATATAGTCTGCACCTAATGAAACTGCTATAGTTTGCTTTGCCCCCCCAAAAATTTTGCATCAGTGCATATGTGGATACAGATATTAGGTGCATGCAATGAGTGATGTACTGATGGTATAATCAAGAGATGATGAAAAATACAAAGTCACAAATGAAGTTGCATTTCTTACTTCAAGTTGCGAAAACCAAAGTTACCTTCAAAAAGTGTTTTCATACACTGAAGCTATTTTTGTGTTTCTCAGGTTAATCTGATTATGGTTTTTCACACACTGCACGCAGGCTCATAAAACTGTATATTCCCTAAATAAGCAAGCTGAGGAACACACAAACACACCAACACACTGACACGCACATTCTCTACATTTCATGTCACGGGCGGAAGGATAGCTTTGTTAGATTTATTTTTAATTCCTTTTTTATTACTATGCAAGTAGATTCTTTGTGCCCTTAAAGCAATAACACTGCAGGTCTTATTTAAGGGTCTTTTGTGTGCCTGCAGACGCTAACAGAGACCCGTATGAGAGAGCTGTAGCTGCATAAGCAATATTCTGTTTTTAGGAAGAGGAGATTAGGATGCTTTGAAGAAAAGAGGGGAAAAATAAGTGATTGCCTGAGGGCTAGCAGTGCTCTTAATGCTGTTCAGTTCAAAGGTGTCTGTTTTAACATTAGCGTCGGCAACACTTTCCTCGCTAAGTACAAACATTAACAGTTACTTTGGGTGAATTCATTCCCTCAATTTTAACCTCTTTATGTGCAGCTGTACTTTTCACTATCAATGGAAGACGCACTGCAAAAGGTGACGAAGCAATGGAGGATAAAAGTTGATCATTAGAGACAAAATATTCACTCTCAGTGTCTGAACCAGCACCTACCTGATATGTGTTGTCAAAGCTGTCATACATGAACCGTGTGATCAGAGACGTCTTTCCAACTGCAAGAGAAGCAAAAGACAGAGATTGTAAATGAGAGACAAAGGCTTCCTCCATTCAGACCCTCAATATAAGTAACAGTGGGGTGGTAGTTATGGTTTCTCTGGCACGGCTGTCACTGCTGCCCAGGGAGCTCATTACTGTGTGTGGGGGTGACCACCAGGTCAGCCGTGGCATCGGGGCCAGATGTAATTACAGTGCTGCTGCCTCTGCTGGCATTATGTCCGTCTACACAACATGGAAATATCTCATTTAAAATATTTCATGGGGAAAACAGGCTGATGAGATACAAAGATGCAAAATAAATCACAGCAGAACAATTACTGTATAAACAGGATATTTTTCTGATGTTTATAGTTGAACATCATCTGCATAGCACTGAAACAGAATACCAACAAGCCAAAATACAGATAGTCTTACAAAATGGCATTTGCTTGATTTTTAATGTCTTGAAAACCTCCTCAATCATCTTTTTACTGAGGGGGAGGATGGAGATGTTAACACACACTTTTTCCAGAAGCTGTAACAGTTTCAGTTTCCTCAAACAAAGCTTCTGCTTGTTAGTGGTCAGGGCTCAGTGGCAGAACTGATGCAGATTATTTCTTTGCAACAAAGATTTTTTGAAACAACGATGATACAGTGTAATCTACGCCAACGATATGAAATAGTAATATAACTCTCTATAACTGATTGATAAAACCAAAAATAGTTTTAGTTTAGTTTTTTTAATAATAGGAAAACTATATTTTTTTCCTTCAGATTTTACTTTTAGATCCTTGTTCAACATTCAAGCCCTTCACGATCTGTGTTATACTGTTTGGAAAGCCAACAACAGCCAAGTCTCCTAAAGGGGCGTGGCAGAGAAGAAATCTGCACTTAACACAGATACAGGAAATGACACTCTGCATGCCGTCTCATCTCTTAACAGTCTCTGCTTGTACCATTCAGTGCAGTAACATTTGAATGGAAACATGAAGCGATTTCAGAGTACGATCAATCCAATCCAACCACACCCAAACATTTCACAGATCAAAGCGAATAAGCTGACTATACCATTAATATTATGATGAGGCTAAAGGAAGAGAAGATGCATTGTGCTCCTGCTCATACATGTGTGATAGTGACTAACTGCAGAGAGCCTGTATTCTGCCTGGATTTTGATGTTTTGTTTTATTTAGGTAGACTCTGGACGTTTCTGGGCGGGGAGCTGGTGTGCAATTCAAACCGGCAGACATGACTGATATGGACATAGAACCAAAGAAGAGAAAATCTAATGATAGTTAGGCCTGCTTTCTGTTTGACAGGCTGGTGCCAAACAGCGACGGCTAGCCTGTGCTATCGTGTGCTAGGTTGCAGTGTAGGTACAAGCAGTAATTGTACACACTATATCCTGTAGTGATTGTGCACTTCTGGGGGCCATGAGCCCAGGAGGAGGGGCCCAGTTTGAATGTTGTGTTTACAAGCTGCAAAGAACATATGACTCCACCAAGTACCTTAGTACTTTTGTTTTTACCCAAATGTACCAAAATATAAGAGCTGCTGCTTCCCTATGCTGAGAAATGTCTGTTAACTAAAGTGTCAGTTTCATTGTGGAGGCGTGTTGTGGTTTGTAACTGATAAATAGCTGTAAAACAGCCAACTAATTTCATAACAACTCAATAATGTATTCATCATTATAGAAGCATAAGGCCTTATGTACCAGAATAAATCACTTGGTTTCCGTCACACAGCTGGTGAGACAGAGTTGAGTCACTGATAGATGGCGTATATGGTTTTCAGATTTTTCATCCTCAGTGGTTTTACTAATGAAGGGAACGGGAGAGCGCAGCAAATGGGGAAGCAAGCAGAAATCAATCACATCCTCCTTTTATATCCATTTAGCATCAGTGCAAACGGTTGGCAGGGAGCCGGTATCTTACATCCCTTTAAGTCGAGTGGAACAGATCCAGAGTGCTTCAGTTAGGTCTAATCTGCCAGGAAACACTGACCAGACTTTGGATGGTCCTGACTGCCTCACAGTTATCTGATAAATCAACGTACTCAATCTTGACTTCTACATCTGAATCTAATCATCCACATATTCCCCTGATGCATCACGCAACATCTGCTTGTGCAGCTGCCATTACAGATTTGTTGTTTTTAAACTTTGTGTAAAATTTTGATTCATTATTCATGTGAAAGAAATGTACTGTAACTGAGTTCTCAAAATCGGCATGCACTGTCTCCCTCAGTAAACATAATCCGTCTCTAATTCACAGTTAATCAAATAGGCCCTAGTTACAATTGTTTACAGAAAGACTTTTAATCACGGAGACTAATTACACGGGCCTCTGCCCTCACTTGGTATCCATATCTACGAGGCAGGATCGGATGCGCCGCTACTGATTATGCTAATGATCTTATACTAATTTATCAATACACCATCGAGCTCCTCTAGCTCCACAGCTCTTCTACTTTAGACAGCAGCTCTACTTACTTAGCCATGGTCTATCACAAATTAAGTTGTCTAATGAAGGCAAATTTTATGAGCATGAAGCTGCAGGAGCTGAACTCAGCATTTAAGAGTACAAAATTATTGTTTGTGAACTGTTTCTTATCCATTCAATGTTAATTATGAAGTGTGCTGCTGCCCTGTTGGCCAGGTCAACCTGGGGAAAGAGATCTTGATCTCAATGGGTTCATTACCTACAATTCTACAATTCACTTAGCAGACACTTTTATGCAAAGTGACGTACAACAGAGAGTCTGGTTAAATAAATCACATTATCTATCAGGATAAATATTCATATTGATAAATAAAGTAAATAAGGAAATGATTTTTGTTTTGCCCTTTTTGCTGAGCACTTTTTCAGACTTACAAAACAAGGAATTGAACATATTTTGAGGCCATGTTAACCGGCATGGGAAGATTTCATCACCATTTTTCAATCTGTAGAGAGGAATAAATTGTGAAAATCCAAAATAGTTCCAGCCCCAGCAGTTATGATCATGATTTGGTTTTGTGTTTGAGTTTCCCTGTTTTATCCCAGTGTTGTTTGTTTCCCTTGTGTGTCAATGTTTCCCAGTGTCCATGGTTTCCTAGTTTTGTCTTCAGTGTTTTCTGTTTTACTTTGTCATTTATTATCCTCGTGTATCTCTGTGTTCTAATGTGTTTTGTTAGACTCTTGAGTTCTGTGTGTCTTTAGTGTTTCATGATTTATTTTGTATTGTCCTCACTGTTTCAGCTCTTGTGTTTCTCCCTGCCTTGATTGCCCTGATTGTCTTCAACTGTGTCGTTAGTCTCACCTGTGTCTGATTACCCCATGTCTATTTAGTCTCTGTGTTTCGTCCCTTCTGTGTCAGTTCATTGTATGTGTTTGTCGGTTGTCGTATGTCAGTTTACCCGTGGCCCCTTGTTTTCTCCTGTTTGGATTTTTGGAACTAAGTTTTTGTTTACCTTTTTGTTTAATTAAATATTTTTGTTAATTCTGCATTTGGGTCCTTGTCTTGGTTTTCTCGATCCATGACAGCAGTTGCAATAAAACAAACTGAAAATACAGTATGTGGTTACATTTCTATTTTCTTCCCATAAATACGTGTTTGGCCCAGCATGCCTTCACATCAGTGGTTATAAGAGAGCAGAACATTAGGATGGAGAGTCTGATCTAACGTCCTCACTGCTGACTCATCCTCCTCGATCGCTGAGCAACATGAGACGGCACTCTCTGGGGCTCTCAGTCACTGCTGAAAGCTTCAAAACTCAGGGACAGACAGCTCGTCCTGATTTCTTTGTCTCACTCAAGTAATATCTGGGAGAGAACGGAACGAGCTAAATCTGAAGTGACGCCCCAAATTTATTTCCCGGGGAAGAACGCTAACTCACCTTGATTCAGCTTAAAAGTCTGTATAAAGCAATAACATGATGCACTGTGAATTACATAACTGACTTTTTACAGCCAAGCTTATAAGGGAGACAAAAACATCCCACCTACAATATCTTTAAAGACGGAACAGAGAGTAGTGTTTAGGTTTAGTGAATATCTTCAGTTACAACTCCAGGTCTGTTTGTGTGAATTTAATTACTGGAGTGGAAGCAGGAAGCTTAGTTACGCTCATGGCTGCAATAATTTAGTGATTTTCTGTTAGGCTAAAAAGAAGTGATTAACAAGGCAGATTCTTGATTACATCTCAGAATTAGCTCTGCATTTCTGAACACTTCCCCCTCATAATCTTTTCATCCTCTTTGCTGTTAACACTGAAAGCTTTTGGAGAGTATGATGGGATTCAAATGATTAGTAGCTCGAGTGAAACAAAAAAAAGTGAAATCCAAGGCAGAGGCAGAGATAATATTGGAGTAAATTATTTTCATTTAGTGTGTGATAGAATTGTGTTTTCACAGGTCAACGGGTTTACAGAGAAAACTGCATCTTCATACATTTAATAGGGAAGGACAACATTAAACCAGAACTAGAGCTATTACATAAACGGCCTTGCTATGATCCAAGAACAAACCCAAGTAAAACTGCTCAAGTAATGAGAAACAAGAACGTCTACCCTAAAAAAGTTACATACAAAACTGTATATTGCACATGAGCAAAACCTATGAAACTGGTCGTTAGCAAAGGTCAACGGGCTGAGAAATAACTGACACTTTGAGGAACCCAAAGACAACGTGCATTTTGTCTTTCAAATCTCAGTACCAATGTTCTCTAGCTTTGTTGTTGTTCACAGAGAGAGATACAGCATGCAAGTGGGTAACTGTACAGAATCAAAAAATGACCTCTCAATGTTTATCATTCACAAGGTTTCCACTTGAAGCTAATTTATCCACAGAGGCCTCCTCCTCTTCAAAACACTGAATTCAACAGAGATGCACTGATTCCGGAAAATCAGGGCCAATACTGATACTGATATTTGTTTCATGACTTCTTTTGGTGTTATACTCCCACAATGCCACAATGTTCTTGCATGTTTGACTGTGAAAACAGATTAGAGTTTGTCCAACAGGTGACTTCATCTGCCC